CCCCCCCCCAGTCAAGGGTGTCCCTCTTTTTCAATCTGAAAATCTGGTCACCTTAAACTAGGGAAGACATCCAGGTAAATGCATTCAGGTTGATCAACATACTGTAGCAATGCAGATTCTAAGATCTGAAAGAGGCACTTACTTCAGGTTTCCAGCAAAAAAAACAAATCAGTTACTGCAGACAATGAATTTGCTTAAGGACCACCACCACAAAAAAAAAAGATTTTAAAATTGATCATGGTCACCTGATGATCCACTTAACCATCAGCATGATTTATGACCACAATTCTGGGCTCAATTCTGGTCATAAATTGAGGTCTACCTGTATCATGTTCTTTTTCTCTCTGCAATTCTGCAAGATTGTAATCTAGATATACATTTCTTAGAAGACTTAAATGTAATGTTATTGCACAATTTCAAATTATCTGTTGTGATCTAATCAATATGCAGAAATGTCACTTCAAATAAGCGGTAGAGATTTAAGGCTATTTCAAAAGGCCTTTGTTTGCATAAGCCATTCTCTTTGAGACTAGCTGTGTTACATGTCCCTTATCTTTGTTTTGCAGCTTTACAAGAAAAGAAAGAAGAAAGACCTAGCAAGGCAGGAGAACAAGGTAAAAAAAAAGAAACTCAGTGAAGCCGATATTATCTAAAGCAAGTGTCAGAGCTGTTTTTTTTTAAAAAAGCACATTTCATATTTCAAGAAATGGACAACCTTGAATTTGTCTCTTTTAACTATCTCGGTGAGTAGTCTTTTCAATCTGTCTGGGAAGCATCATTCTGACAGAACTCAGTTTGTATGTACCCAAGTGCAGAGACAAAATGTAACTGTTTATCTAGACATGTCATCTTTTGTGGCCTAAATTCTTTTAACCAGCTTGATTTGTGGCATAAAGGCTTTAAGGTGAGATGAACACTCTATGGCATAGGCATTATTCTTTTCTGTTTGAACAATATCTGACCATCTATGTGGATTTTTAAAGAAATTGCATTGCTTACAGGTAGTCCTTGACTTCCAACCATTCGTTTAATGGCCATTTGAACTTACAGTTTTTACAGATGCCTTCCTACGAACCAAGTCAATAGGAGAATGCCAGATTTGCTTAACAACTACATGATTTGCTTGACAACCATGGCAAAAATTATCATAAAATTGGGCCTGACTCACTTAACAATCACTTTGCTTAACAATGGAAATTCTGGTCCAAATTGTGGTCATAAGTTGAGGACTATCTGTATCATGGGGCAAAGGTAGGTATAGAAAGTGGACTTACAAACGTTTCCATTTAGATGGTAAAATCAGCATACAGGTTTAATATAGAAAAAGGTATAGAATTGATATAAAGGAAAACACTAGATAAAGTGAAGATTTAAATAATTTAAATACATTTCAACATCACTCATTGTTCCTCTGGATGCTGGAGCATGGTTTCGCCTTTTTCCTACTGGGCACAGTTAATTTTGCATCCTATAGTTTTGTTGCTATTAGTATTTAGATACCAATTTAAATAATCATGTCTTTAAAAAGTCCTAGGTAAAATTCAATTGCTGGACTTTTCTATGGAAAATCTGTGCTCCTTAGGTTTTGATAATGCTACAAATGGGATATACAGTAGATCTGCAAACAAACCTAAGTAAGACGTCAAACCCCAATATTTATCGTTTGTTTCCAAAAGGATTTGTTCCAGCCTCCTATTTAATCATCTATTCCAGTTCTGAAATTTCATAAGGTTAGATCTCAGCAGTCCTTTTTGAATGTTTTAAGAGCACTCCTATGTACTTTCAGTTATGTTCATGTGGAGATGAAGCAATAAAAACTCTAAACCAATGATGGTGAACCTTTATGTAAAGGCGTGCCAAAATTGTGTGTCTGCGCCCAATAGCCCGCACAAACACGCCCATACCCACAATGCAATGCACCCCAGCCACCTGCACATGTGCATACGACTCCCCCTCATGGGGGAGCTGTTTGCCCTCCCCAGGCTCCAGATGCTTTCCTGAAGCCTGGGGAGGGCGAAAAGGGCCTCCCCCAGCCCCAGCCCTCCAGATGGCTGAAAATCAGCTGGCCAGCATGCGCATGGGCACTGGATCTGATGGCTTGCGTGCTGGCAAATATGGCTCCATGTATCACCTGTGGCATGAGTGCCATAGGTTGGCTATTGTGGCTCTAAACCATATGATACTATATTGTTCCCTGTATAAGGACTCTAGCTTATATCTCATCTTGAAGAAATTTCAGAGTAGGGCATGTTTAATTTTTTTTGGACAGGAACTAGAAAATAACTCTCCAAGTTTTCATTATTTTTTGATTCTACTATACTAGTTTTTTCCTGTTATACCAATATGTAGAAAGATGTGATGCTTCTGTTATGAGATATTTTGTTTGTTCCTGGCCTTGGGGCTATAATAAATTTGATTGAATTTGATATACATATATAAAGTTAATATTAAAGTTAATTCTATATAAAGTTAATATTTATTCCAAATAACACAAACTAAACGTCACAGAGGCCTAAACTTATGAGAGAATTTTAAAAAAATAGTTTCAACATCTTTGATGAACTTACTCGTGACACAATTGTAATTTGTATTATATTTTCTTATCTTTAAAAAGTATTACTTCAAATATTTATGGGATGATAATGACAAACTTAGGTAAAAGATAAAGGTTCCCCTCGCACATATGGGTAGTCGTTCCCGACTCTAGGGGGCTGTGCTCATCTCCGTTTCAAAGCTGAAGAGCCAGCACTGTCCAAAGATGTCTCTGTGGTCATGTGGCCAGCATGATTAAAAGCTGAAGGTGCACGGAACATTGTTACCTTCCCACTAGTAGTGGGTTGCAGGCAGTACACCCTGGTATAAGTGTATCAGTGCCTGCCAGGAGCACTGCTCCAGAGGGCCCACCTGCCCGTCCACCCTCCTTATCTGTATTTGAGCTCTTCGGCGCTTCCGCGCATGCATACAGACCGTACAGTGCCTGTGCGATGCTCTGCCGAGCAGCTGGAGCATCAAGGAGGCATTGCAGGAGGTAAGGATGCATGCGTATGCTGTGCACGTTCATGTGGTGGACTCTGGGCCCCGTTGCACTTTACCTGTTGCAATGGAATCCAGAACCCACCACTGCTTCCCACCAAAGGTGGTCCCTATTTTTCTACTTGCATTTTTACATACTTTCAAACTGCTAGGTTGGCAGAAGCTGGGACAAGTAATGGGAGCTCACTCCATTAGGTGGCACTAGGGATTTGAACCGCCGAACTACCAACCTTTCTGATCAACAAGCTCAGCGTCTTAGCCACTGAGCCACCACATCCCAATGACAAGCTTAGAAGGGATCAGATCATTAAAGTTATTTTGCTATCAACCAACAAACTATTAGATTTTAAATATAGAAGAAAAATGTGATATTGTAGTATGTCTCGTGAAAATGGCCTTAGTGACTACACCAATAGCTTCATACATAAATATGTAGGCAAACATATTGTTGCCCGGGTCCAAATTCAGATGACTCTTTAGATGTTTCAGCTGCACATTTAGAAATTGTTTATGTTTTCTTTTACTCCTAAGTATTTAAGGCAGTGTTTCTCAAGCTTGACAGCTTTCAGATGTGCAGACTTCAACTCCCAGCATGTTGACTGGGGAAAACACACATCTCAAAGCTGCCAAGCTTGAGAAACACTGATTTATGGGATACTTGAGTAGTTTCATTCCCATGTTTCTTATCAATCTTTCTGATTCTATCCAATGGACATCTGCAGAAACTTGCTGCTATTATCACAATGTTATGTTGCAAACTCTGCCCTTTTTTATATTAATGCATTGTTGTTATATCCATACAAACCAGGCAGATCTTTGTGTCATGATGCTGCAACCCTGCCTTCATCATTCTGCTTTGTCTCCTTTCGGCGTCTTCCTCAATGAAAACAACTGTTTCTCTACGAAAAGTGAGAAGAGAAATGTAGTCAGGTCTACCCCATGTACATACCATTCACATGAAGTCAGTGACAGAGTTGAGTTGCCTTCATGCTTGGTGGCGCAGTGGTTAGAATGCAGCACTGCAGGCTATTTCTGCTGACTGCCAGCTGTTGGCAGTTTGGCAGTTCAATTCTCATCAGGCTCAAGGTTGATTCAGCCTTCCATCCTTCTGAGATCGGTAAAACGAGGACCCAGATTTTTGGGGGCAATATGCTGAGTCAGCAAACTGCTTAGAGAGGAATGTAAAACACTGTGAATGGTATATAAGTCTAAGTGCTATTGCTATTGCTTTTCTGGGCTGCACAATGTGATGTTTATATCACACGGCTGGAGGAATACAGTGTCTCAAATTGTCAGCTGAAAGTGTTTGTGGAAGCAAGATAAATATAAGCAAAGACTCCCTCAATTCAAAAGTGATTTCTGGGAAAGATACCAGTATTTTTCTAGGCAGAGATACTGAATTGGTATGTCATTGCTCTTTGTATCGGGGATATTTGTTTAACTTCCTAGTCCAGTGTTTTTCAACCTTTTTTGTGCAAAGGCAGACTTTTTTCATGAAAAAAAATCACGAGGCACACCACCATTAGAAAATGTTAAAAAAATTTAACTGTCCCACTTCAGTGCTCGGAACACCGAAGGAGACGCGCCGCTGGTAACACTTACCAAGTTGACAGCGCGTGTTCTCCTCGCTGCTCCGGTCCTCCGTGATTGTTGCTATGGGCGCATGCATGGGACATCAGTGACGTCCCTGCGTGCGCTACCTCCCGGCGGTCCCCGCGTTTTTAAAGTAAATGCGGGGCCTCAGGGACTTAATAGAGGCATCCCTGTGTCCCGAAAGCAACTTTCGGGACATAGAAATGTCCCGAGGCAAAAATACCCGGCGGGTGTTTCTCCCAC